AGCGCTGGGACGCCCCCTCGTGGAGAAAGTGCAAACTGCAGCTTATGGCACAGCCCAGAGAGAACTGGCTTTGAACTAACAGCTGCTGCAGAAATTTCCTGGACTCCTGGGGATTAAATGAGCATATGAAGAGAACTGATGGATGAATCAAAACAGATGATGTGCTGTTTATTATAACAGATATCATGTCACCAGGACATGATAAATCCTAGAAATTAACTCAACAAAACTGAGTAGTAGAAGCAACAAGCAAATCAGGTGGTATAGTTCAGTATCAGGCATATTATTATTTTATGTGATTGGTTTCTTACTGGTCCAGCTGTGACCCATCCAGAGACAGCTCGAAGACAAAACTCTAGTACCACCAGGGAGGCAACACGGGAGCCCACTACAGCCAGCATCCCAGCCACCAAGAAAAACTGGAGCATCCCAGTAAGTCCAGTTCTAGTTCCCCTTTGAGGTGTTCTCTGGCTTGATATATCTTTACCATTTTTATCACTCCAGCTGTGGGTTGCAGGGAAAAGAATCAAGTTAGAAATAAAACTTATCTATTAAGCATCTGTACTAGCACTGGAAGGGGAATATTTAGATGAGAAACAAATTGATTAAAAGGCGATTTCCTCACCTTTCCTCCTCTAGGAATAAGTGCACTCTCACCAGTGAGCATAGCACAGAGATCGCACATGCACCTATGAGTCCTGCAAGTCAAATAACACTGAATTTGTAAGCAATAACACACTCCAGTCACCTAACATATACAGTTAAGAAACAGCTTGTATAAGTGCGAACGTCAGAGAAAATGAATGGATGGACCTCACCTTGAAGTAAACTATCCAATGGATTTGTATCTAGAGTCAACCACCCCGGTAGGAAGTAGGACGTCGGAAGAAACGACGTGATAAAGGATAACATTGTACTACCTTTGACCTAAAAGAAGAAACTTTTATTTAAATGTTTAAAAAAACAAAACAAGTTTAGTTTTACAAAAAATACATGGAGATAAATCTAATTTAAGCAGTCGGGAAGCATATTTTATGGTTATTCCAGATCGAGAAGTATCAGCTCAGCCCTTCTGTTTATCTCTGCTGCCTGAGCTTTGTTCATGCAGAAGCCTGTTTTGTGTCCTGTACCAAAGGTCATCTGAGTGTCGGTGGAGCAGAGGCCCTCAGCAGCCTGAGTCATAACAAGATAATGGAGGTTATTGCGCCATGGGAAATTTTTGCACTCTAAAATGATGGCAGGTGTTAGTTGTCCTCTCAGTTTGTCTGCAAGCTACAACCGTTGCTCTGACAAAGAGCTCTTTATCTCATAGTTCTTTTTGAAAAATAATATTTTTCCAGAGCAACATTTCAAGTTCATTAATATATTTTTATTTATATTACATTTCAGAAGGCAGTGGATATAATAGATAAATAATAAGTCATGCTTCAACAAATTGTCTTATTATAGGGTCAGCAAGAAAGCCCATTAGTTATATCATTATATATATATATATATATATATTGCATTGCTTGATCCAAATGTGTTAATGTGTTAAATATATAATATAATATGTGTTCAAACATTTGTTAATTTGACAATTAATATAAAAAAAATCTTAGGCTCATATTATTTTAAGGTATAGTTATAAGGTGTAGCTGGTGGTCAGGGTCATAAGCTTTAATTCCTATTTACGAGGGGGCAGCAGTGTACAACATTCATGTTAATTTACTGACAACAATCACTTCCACTGGGCCCTGTAAAGGGATAAAACTGCAGAAAAAGTAGCACAAGGACTTGCTACAGTCTTACTCTGAGTACCTTGGGAAAGAAGCTTAGGGCCCGTGGATGCTTGTAAAGCCCCAAACATTGGAGCCATCATTAACCCCTTAACCTGACATCAGTGGTGTATCAAATAAACAAACACTATTAGATAATAATATCTGATGTTTTTCACATACATTATTTTTTCCTGAGTGTTCAAATCTAATGAAACCTGAAAATTAGTTAATTTACATCGACACCTCAATGTGCAAATGTAATGTGAATGCATGTTAATTGTACAGGTAAAGTGGGTATTGGAGCGGATGCCTGAAGGTGCCATCTGTGACATTGAGACTTTTGTACATTTACGATAGTAAAATGAGAGAGTAGCTGAGATTGCTCATTTGCTTTATATGTAAAAACACAGGAGGGCGCTCTTATTCCAGCAGAAACAGAGACGCACGCAACATGTTTATCCTCTTTAGTGGAGCTACAGAAAAAAATAATTTAAGACATCAAAGTGATTTTATATTCAACCAAATCACATTTACTTTCATGCAGAGGAGGGAATGAGTATCATAAAAATTTTAAACACGTAAGTATTTTGCTTTGCACTATCTGCACAGGATGTGATGAAACTGGAGACTAACAAACCACACAGAGCTTAAATTGCCCTTTATCACAGAGAGAGTCATATAAGGAGGTCAAAGACAAAAGTCTGATATAACTACAGGCTTAACTGCATTGTTAAGTGTAACAAGTAGATTATTACATGACAAAGTAATTAAAAACTGTCCAGGCTGAGCAGTGAAGCAGTGAGTGAACTGTGATTGCAGGCAGCAGATAAACCTCTGAAGAGAGGAAGGACTTCCCACATGGACTCCAACAGTGCCGGCAGTGTGCAATATGACCGCTGGAACGAGGACAACATCAACATGAACGTGGAGGGATCACAGTCTACTGTGATGAGGTGAGACACAGTGATGGCTGACAGAAAGATGCAAAGATCAAATATAAAGTTTTCATATTGTTTTTCTGATGCTACTGAGAAGCAAATATACAGAGTTATATGAAGATGTGGAGGAGATAAAACCATATATTTATATGAGTTCTACGGGTTTGATATTGGTCTTTCATTAAAAATCAAATCTGGTTTAGTCAGTGCCATCTACCTCTGACAAGATTGCTATTATGTGATTTTACCCATCCACCGCATTTCAGCGTCCTCCAGCTGCCCCTTTGTCAGTTTGATCACCAAGGAAACATAACTGGATGCATACATTTGTTATTTTTATAATGGAATTCAGTTATTGCAGGGTTGTGTTATTCCTCTGAAACAGCAAACACCATGACAAAAGTATACAATTCTAAAATTCAGTTTTTGAATATTAGCATTTAAATCCCTCATTACTTGAATCCATAATACTGGTAAGCTTTGTAAAACCTTTATAATCAAAGCAGCTTAACAATACAACCCAAAGGCTGTTTGACCTGACTCTGCCTCCCTTTCTGTTACATGCACAGGATCTTCAACACAGTGTGTAGTGGCAGCACTGGAATAGCAGTGAAGACAGCAGGAGCTTTGGCTGCACTGGTGTCCATTTACATCATAGGCTACGTGACGGGATACTACGTCCATAGGTGCTGATGGTGGAGTGCTGCTATGGAAGAATAGATTCTGAATAAGTTTAGATTTAATTTATTTTATTTATCTTTTAGATAAAACTTCCCAAAACAGCATGGTCACACTTCAGCAGTGACCAAAAATGTATTTTTTATAAGAACCCATTATAACACAATTCCTGGTGGGATTTTGTTTCTTTTGTTAACCTTGGGTCATCAGTTTTTTATACATGAAATTGAAAGTTATATAAAAGTATGTGAAATATTATTTATTCAAAATATTGAAATTAATATGTTGTCTTCAAGAAAACATCAGTCTTGCAACCATGCATCGACATCAAATCAATCAAATTGTGTTGTGAAAGTGCACAAGAGCTGTGTGCAGATACCGGTCATTATGATATATGTGTCATTATCTCTGGTCATTGTCTCTGTGATCTATGTGTCATTGTTCTTTTGTCTTATTGGGGGTCCACTGCTGCAGGGTCAATGTTGCAGGATGCTGCGCACCAAACATCCTTTCAATTAGTGTGAATCCTCGAAAGTTGCTTTGTTTCCTGCTTTACCACACTGTGAAACCAACACATCAAACACTGTATTTTTTACAGATTGGTGACTGGGTATTATATCCTTTTAAATACTGCTATTAATGATACAGCAGAAATGTCATGGATGTGTGCAGAGTTGGCTAATTTTGCTTTCCATCTTGATGCTACTGTATACTTCTTTTCCACTACAGTTCAGATGGAAATATTACTGTTTACTTTGCAAATTCAGATATTCAATACACAATATAATCAACAAATAAATTACTGGTATGAGTACAAAAATTAGCCCTATCTTCACCAGCTGCAAAATTAAAGTAATGCAAATATTATACATTATTCTAAAAAGGCCATTCTACATAATGATTGCTTTTTCTCTTAGTATATTTCAATACTAGTACAACTGTACTAATACTAAGTACACTTCTTAATTTTACTTTTAATTGTAACAGAGTATTCCTGCACTGTGGTATTACTACTTTTACTTGTTTATTTGTTGAAGAGTACTTCTTTTTACCACCATTGGTCACCAACACACAAACCTGAAGTCTTTCATGTCTTTGAAAATGAATGCATGATATCCATCTTTAAGGCTAAAACTCAGTTTGGTCACCAGTTGACAGTTGGTCAACAGACAACCTGCCACCTTTGGGTCTGAGTCCAGTCCAACTGTAGCCAAACTATGATGACACCTAGAAAATGAGAATAAATATTGTAGGGAATGATAAAAATAATATAGTAACTGTGACGTTATACGATCACTGTATTACAATTGTATTTACACTGTAAAGCAGTTGAGAACTGAATATATTTGCTGTTGTTCACTGACTGATCTTTAAGATAATGCAGTTATTTGAAAGTCTGTGGATTGATGTTTTTTTCTTATGTAAACTAAATAATGTGATTTCAAGAAAGGCAGGGAAACACGTCTGTGCGTTAAAACAAAAAAGAGCCTCCCATTGTTCTGGTTTTATTGTGGAATGACTTTCAGCCATCTGTTTTAAGTGTTATTCCAAATAGAAGAATGAGTTTATTACCAAAGGTCATACTACAAAGCTCTTGCTTTAATTAAGGAAGATATTTATACTGTTGGCACTTAAAATGGTTTTATTACAATTCAATATATTTTCACATATATCAAATAACATTGTTATCACCAGTAAAAACTTTCCTGTCACAACATGAAAATTTTTAATTTTTCACATAACAATTGAAGCAAACATGATTACAAATGTGCATAAGAAAACACACCAAGATCCATTTTATTCCACAGGAATCCACCCAAAACTTTCACACCGCATTCCTGACCAACAGCATGCACAGTACTGCCATGACAGAGCAAGGTGATGTAACCTCTGACCCCCCTGTGGAGGTGAAAAGACAGCCTCTAGGGGGCCTAAGCCCTACAAGTAAACTGTAAGTTCCCTACAAAGATAAACAGAGTGAATATTTTACAGTGAAGATAGAAGACGACCGAGGGTTAAACTGGTACCTGATAGACACCACTGATAACCAGTATTATTATAGTTGTGTATTAAATATCCCCTGGAATTGTATTGCCATGGTGCAACATTTGGGTCATCATGTAACAGTGAAGATCTGCATTGAACACACCACACAAACACATTCCACATCTGTTTCTTGATGATCAACAAAAACTCATGTCTCCTTCCGGCCGTCTCAGCTCTCACAGGCTGAGTTACAGTATATATTTTTCTCATGTTTCAACGTCGTCACAGATAGGCTCATGCAGCAGTGACGTTCCTTTCTTCCCGCAGAGCGAGGACCTACGTTTTCTGTGCTCTCTCTTCCACGTAGAGCTGCATCTGTTAAAGACAGAGGACAACCGCACATCAGTAAGAGCAAATGGGGAAATTTGAACCTGACATAATGACAATTGAACAAAATGTAATCACAGAGTTAAACCTCGACTTGATTTTGGTGCCTATGTTTTTGTCTTTGAACAGATAAACTGAGCAGTGAGTGAGATGTTTCCACTCACTTTTACTATGTCAGATGTCATGGTCTTCAGTGGGATGAGTCTAGGCTCCTGCATGTGGACCTCCTGCTCATCAGCAACTATCCATGGAAAATCCTGAAGATGTACATGCACAAATGTAACATATAATCATTGTGTTTTTTTTACATAATTAGCGCTAATTATAATTATAACAATTACTACAAAGACATAAACAGGCTGCTCTGTTATTATTAGAAGTCGTACATCATAAATTAACTTGTAGGTTTGCAGTGCTGTAAAATCTCACCTTGATGACTTGAACCTTCTCCATGTTGCGTGTAGCAGCATCTCTGGTATGTACTAGAACTGTAAATGAACACCCTGCGGCAAAAAAACAACAGGTCACAGATAAATTGATTTATATCTATTCACACCTGAACATATTTTACGACTCATATCATCTCCTTTACAATATTTATTAGTTTAGTTATTGTCATTACAAGCTCGATTCTCTTCTGATTACAGCCCAAATCGCTTGAAGGAGTAATTCACTTCTTTATAGGCTCGTTCAATCTCTCAGTCTCAGAGACTTGTATAGGAGGCGGGAGAATTGTATACTTATAGTCGTATAACTACGCCTTACAGCCTTACTAAGGTTCTAAGGTTAAACCCAAATTCTGCCTCCTTTGCCAAGATTAGCAGGCATTAATTCTAACGACGGCTCGAACCCTGACCCTAGTCTTAGTAAGTAAAATAGTACTTTGTCCATTGTGTAGGAGGTGATATATCATTCTACCATAGATGTTGGATTAATGATTAATGTTTGCCTGTGAATCTGAATAATTTGAGAGTGATAAAGAAACAAGAGAGCTGGATCATGTCAGTAATCACACCAAAGACTTAGAAATATAAAAGTGACAGGCAGAGGACATTATGTGTCTGCCATGTACTTCTCTTTATGTAATCCTCAGTGACATTACCTGGTGGGTTATTATTTAAAACAGCATCACACACACTGATCTTCAGGATGAACGCCCTCAGCAGCTGCTCCACGTGTGACAGTAATGTGTCGGAGCTGTAACATCAAAACCACATGCAGTCAGTGAGTNNTGATTTTTAAAAAGAAGAAGAAACCTGATGGACAGCAGTGTAGGCTGGGAAATCTCAAACACAAATCTCTCTACTGGATGATGCTCTTTGTCCATGATGACCACTACCACCTTCTCTGCATCATTCTGGGAGGGAAATGAAAGACTTCAGCAGTGTATACAAATACAGCGAGAGATGACACGTGTTATTAATTAACCACAGGCCATGTCGTACCTTCTCAATGAGTGGCTTAACACAATGAAGCGTATCTTGGATATACTGATTCAACTCTGGGTGACATGACATCTGGAAACAACCATCAGAAACAGAAGACCATTATTAGAGATATTAATAGGTAAGCCTTTCTGAAAACTGCGAGCATGGAGTAATGACACATAAACCCATCAGTACCTGCACGGGTACATTGTATTTCTTCCTCTTCTGAAAGATTCCAGAGGGATAAACCTCTCGGACATACAGGATGAGATGAATAGCGACCTCCAGGAACTCACACAGGATGTCAGCAACCACTGGAAGAGAGGAATCAGCGGGGTCATACCATCTCTCATGTAATACATTTGATCAGGTATTACCACAAAGTAAAACCAAACGTAATGCAATTTAGTGTTGCCGTCTTAGCTCCCATATAATGACAGCTGCATACAAGTTAAAGGAGATTTCATAGATATAAACGCTGATTTGTGTAATGCTCTGCCGGATAGACCAGCATATACCCAGAGTTCAGCATATTTATGTTCATGTGTTATCTACTCATAGGCAAGCTCAGATTTAATTGTCAAATATATACACAGTATTTACAAACGAGGGCTATGAGCGTTTAAAGCCACCAGCGTTAGTCTGGTTCTCTCACCTTGTCCAAAATTGAGGTCTTGCCTTGTTAGAGTTGTCATATTTTCTTTCCCCCCAGAACTACAGAATTAAAACAAATAGCTAATGTTTCTATCTAGCTAACGGTATTAAGCGGCGGTGTGTCAGTCAGGCGTTCATTC